TTGTGAACATATCATCCAAATCACCAGCTGGATGCGCTAGGTTCGTGCTGTACCCATAAGGTGCTAGCGCGGATTGCTCTTGAGAAAATACAACAAACCTTCTTTGGTATCTCTTACCCAGAGGAAATACAAGGTCGGGAGAAACGACTACTTGAAGAGCCTAATATTTACAAACCATCTTCATCGATAACGCATTTGAAATAACAAAAACAGAAAAGAATAATTAAGGATTAGTACAATCAAAAACACAAACCGGCGGGACAGGTAGTGCGACGCGCAATTTCCCAGATTACTAAGCCAATCGCGTACATATCACCGGTGCGATAAAATTCAAACTTCGTCGGTTCCACTTTATCGTCAAGAATTTCTGGCGGAAGATAACGCTTAAAAAACCATAAGCTCTATGATGAGTAAAGTCAGTGAGTCAACGTCCAACTCACTACAGTGCCGCATTTGTTACTGTTAGGTAAACTTATGTGTCCTGCTTCGTAGCGTACAGCTAATCCGAAGTCTGCTATGGCGCATGTTAAATCGGCTTTAACAAGAATGTTCTTGCTTTTGATATCTCGATGAGCAATCGCTGGCTTTTCTTTAAAAAAATACATCTTAGAGCGAATTAAAAAGATACAGGAAAAACCTGAAATGTACTTTGGATTCCCATCAATTCCGTGTGAAGAAACGACAATCCATTTGAAATTCCTCGTATCATCTGTACAAGAGTAAAAACGCTCACCGTCTAAAAGTGATACCTTTCAAAGCTTATTGGACCTTTGGACGAGCACAGATGCAATAAAGCCAAGATGACTGAGCTCAGTAGGAATTATTACAAAAAATGGATATTTCACTTACAGCGTTTGACAAGTAATCGTAAAGGGAGCCATGACTATGGTATTCAGTGATCAACCATAGCTGCATAGTGGTACCAGTATCTGAATGCGAATGTTATTAGAATCTAGTGCGCGGAACTAAGAAAGGTTGTATAACGCAATTCTGGATAAAAGGCAAAAAGGTACAAGAAGAAATGAAAGTCAGTATATATATATATATATATATATATATATATATGCTGCTTCAGCTACAAGTCTCAAAAAAATGTTGGAATACATGAATAGATTACCTTTAGCTAACGAGTGTAGAGAAAATAGTGCTACACATAGAAATAGATGACTCTACAAATGATAAAACCGCTATCATACACCGTCAATACCTTTGCTGTCACTTGCGTAGAATTGGAGGATGTTCGGATGACGCAACATGTGCGTTTGAAAAGTTTCTACTTCATGTGACCATGAACCCTCATCTCGTGAAGAAAAAATTTTTACGGCGACCATGTCCCCTTTCCAGGCTCCCAACCAAACCTTAAATGTCAAACAAGAACAGTAAACAAGCTACAAATTTAAGCTGAAATAAACACATACGTCACCAAACCGTCCTTGACCAATCTCCCGCACAAGTTCAATCTGTCTTGCAATGTTTCGCTGGGTGAGTAATGGCAGACCTAAAAACTATCCATGATGCAATGGGGTCTTGCCGCATCACAAAAGAGATGAATGAATAGTAAAAGATCTCAATTCGTTTAGTTTATGAATGCGATGTATTACCAACCAGAACCAGACCCTGACCCAGCATCTGTAGATTCGAGCCCTTTCAACAAAAGAAGTTGAATTGCGGGAGCGGATGTTGTTGTAGTCTGAGACATTGTCTCAATCATTGGCACCTCATCCTCCCTGTGATGAATACGGGAAAATGAGTGAGGGTTCAAAAACATTAGCATCTAAGGAAATCGTACAAAACTATATAATCAGACTCACGGAGATATGTGGTTCAGTGCAGTAGACATTGCAGGGCCCATTCGAAGATATTTCCGCATGACAGCCGCGATTCTCTGACTCCGAAGCAGCGCTATGGTAATAGAGCCAAAGATGGCTAGCTGAAATACGCACATGCGAACACAGTTAGCACCGGATGCTGCTTAACTAATGCCTTATCAGGGGCGAGAGAACATTCACTTTGAATCTGATAGAGAGGAAAATGTATTCCATACTTCGTCTTCGTGAAAATATGAGGACGGCCAATCTTATGAACAGAAATTACGGTTCCATTCTGCTTGGGCAAAATAAGATAGGCCGACAACAAGTAAACCAGAATGTACAACAAGCGAAGCCCATTGCAGATTGACAATGGGTGAATTAAAAAATAAATAAATCGCAACTCTATTAAATCGAAATCTCAACATGCAGAGACCAGTAACACACTAATGATGCAAAGTCATTTCACAAATTTCAAACCAATAACTATTTGCATAATTCCACTATAGCATTGGTTGAAAGACGGTTTAGCTAATTTCTTCGGAAAAAAGATCCAAGTGAATACTAAGAGATTACTGAGCTAACTCGTAATGAAGAAAAAACTTGAACTTGCAACAAGAAGGCTTGTAAAAATAGCATGATCAGATAACTATAGCAATTTTGGGAAAAATCAAAAAAAAAA